CCGGGATCCCCAAAACCCACCACGACACCCCTTTCATTGAGTCATGTGGCGCCACACAAGAAAGTTTTCTTTTTTGGCTGTTGAAGCTTTGGTCTTTGTTTCTGTATGGTTTCTGTGAAGCCTGGCGGGTTGGAGCACGCTATGTGACTGGCCGGTTAGGCAGGCTTGTTATCTGATCTGTTTCGATCCACAGCCTGCCTGCTTTTCGGTGCTGGCTTGGCAGATCCTGAGCTGTATGTTGTGTGTCAGTTTTGTGTTTTCATGTTTTTGTTAATTGTGTAAAGCGTACCTATGTTTGGTACACTAGCAAAATCTGTAAGTAGGCCTACAAGGATTAAGGGGAGGGGATTGAGGGGATGCCCCAATCCCTCATTTAGGGCAGAGGTTCGGGTGGCAGCTTCTGAAGTCTGTAATAAGGGGGCCAGGGAGCCCAAGGTCGCCCAATCTGTAGGATGGGGACTTGGTCTAGGACCAAGTTGCCTGCTCCATCTGTGAAGGTAAGGGGACTCAGGGGGGTTGCCCAATCTGTAGGGGAAGACTTGGTTGAGGACCAAGTTGTCTGCTATGTGGCTGGCCATCTGAGATTCTGAATAGGACCCTAGTCTGTCTAGTCTGTGCTGTGTGTTTGTTAAGCCTGTCTTTTGTCTTGACTCTGGAAGTCTTTCAGAACAGCTGCCACTCTGGACTCCAGCATATCTCTCTCTCTCCTCTCTCTCTCTCTCTCTCTCCTCTCTCCCTCTCTCTCTCTCTCTCTCTCTCTCTCTCTCTCTCTGTGTGTGTGTGTGTGTGTGTGTCCTTACTGCCCAAAGCACATAGGATGGGTGGGTCAGGGGTCTTTTCTTGCTGCCCTGAGCTCGTGGCGTGCGGGACACAAGTTCCTCTACCATGTGCCATGGGTTAGAGTGTTTTGCAGCGGGGTCCCCTGTCTCGAAGCACATGGTGAGGCTGCTCTTCTGGACTCTAACCACTGCTGAGGCCCTCACAGCTGAGCCTGGCTGGTGCATCTCTCCATCCTCACCTGCCTGTCTGTGAGGCATGCAAAGTGGGGTTCTCTCTTCTCTGCCCCAATTGCCATTCTGCCACAGGTCCTGGCACACAGCAGGAGTTTCCCTGCCCTGAGCACATGACTTGCAAGGCTACCATTTGCCTGGCCTTGTCTGTGCCCCACACACGTGGTGTGCAGAATGTTGGGGCAGAGAAGCCTTGAGGGTTTCTTTCCCACCCCTACATGGGCAGAGGGTTTGGGCTTACTGGCAGCCCACCCCCAGGTCTCTGCCCTGAGCGCATGGCTTGGGATGGGTGAGCCAAAACGCAACGGCCTTAAAGTTATTAAAAACTACAAGAGGGAAAGGGAAATGTGAACTGTTTGCTATGGTTTTTCATATCTACAAATACTAAATTTTAAAAATTGGTAATATAAATATAAATTTTAACCATATTAGGTTAATTCTGTTTAAGAAATTGTTTATTTCTCAAGAAAATTATATGCTTGTTTTGTTAAAAAGTTCTATCTCTTTTCTGGCATAATCTAAGTTATCTTACAAGCATACAGCTAAAACAAATGGTGCAGGTTGCCGCCATTTTGCAGTCAGCCTTATGGCAAGCTAGTCACATGGCTAGCTGTTAGCAATTTTGCTGAAGTTGAAAAAGATATTTGGACCACCATCTTGACTGAAGGTGACCACATGGAAATTAGGAGGTACCATCTTATAAACAAGTTTTTTCTTTAATTAAGATTTAAAATATTAATGCTTCTATATACAGGAATGCTAAACTTTGTAATCTAAAAGGTTATAAGATATTTATGCTTTTAAAAATGTTTTTATTGTTACTTACAGAGCTTCAATTTAAAATCATTATTTTTAAAGCTAAACCTGACAATGTAAAAGTTCTGGTTTTATAAAAGCTACTTAACCAATTGTCAGATGTTAAAAATACAAATTAATACAGTTTTTGTTTTCAGAAGTTAAGCTTAAGCAAACAACTAAAACGTGTACATGTGGCTACTGTTTAAAGAATATAAAGTAACTCTATATGCAATTTAAATTCAACTGCTAAGTTTCAAATATTTTACTAAGTTAAAACCAGTTACATTTAGACTGAAAATTAATTAATTGAGGGATAGAGCCTTACCCAGCCACCTATGTGCTTAAGGCAAGTAACTAAACAGACAGACAGACCTCTAATGCTCCAGAGACCTACAGAATGTGACATTTAAAATGTTAATTTAAAAGTTTATAATATCAGATAGACTGCTAGATCCTGACAGTGACCCAAAGTCTCCAAAGAAGATTACGAGGCACCCTGGTTCTTGTGCCTGGATTATGACGATGCTGACCAGTGAGCAAGAAGCTCAGATGCAACCCCTGCCACCAGGACCTGGCCCAGACTGTGGACAAAACTGCTGGACACTGGAACATTGATTGAACCCCCTTTGCCTAGACAAAATAAGGTCAGTCTTTCCCATGTCCCTCTTCCACAGAGAGAAAGAAAACTCTCACCTTGTAGGCCTGACAAAGATTGATGCTGTTCTTTGATACTTCTGCCTCCAATGCTGATGGAGAATTGGATATGGCTAACTGTATATGGACTGGTACCTGTCACTTTTTAATAGATTTGGAAACTGTATGAAATTTTTCCTTCTCAGATCTCTGAAAGTATTCATTGTTGTCAATGTGGCAGCATCAGGCAGCCAAATCCACAAGACTATAGTAAGCTTGGTAGTTCATTTTATATATGTAAAAATCAAGCCTCAATATGGCTCCCCAATAAGGATCTAAGGATAAGATTTTCTGCCCTGGTCTTGGAACTCCCACTCTTCTTGATCACTAAAACTATGGGTCTAAAGAGTTCCAAGTACGTAAGTTTTAACTTTTGTTCCCAGTTTAAACCTGTCTTAAATAAGTTTCTGCTTCTGGAAGACACATCTGAGTATCAGTTGCTGACTACAGCCTGCTCCTAAGCTCTTTAAGCCCTGGGTGTGGTGTGGATGTAAACCAGTCCAGCTGATGTGGACACCCTCTGTCTCTTCAACAGAGTCTGCCAACCAGCTGCTCCTGATGGATACCTCATTTCCTGAATTTCCTTTTTGCTTTTGACTAGCATTTCAGCCCTCTTGGGTCCCTAACTGCGTCCTAAAGTCAGCAGGAAGTAACATGGGAATGAATATGTTGCCCATTTTCCCTGGTTGAAATGCTAAGTCAAAAGGCAACTCCCTTACATAGGGGACAATATGACACCAGATGCAAATGTCACTCCCTCAGAAAAATCTGTCAGTTAATGGCAGGGCCTGTTAAACACCCCTTTGAGCCCTTAACAGGCAGGAGGACTCAGGATTGAGTCCTCTCACGGGTACTTTGAGAAGGGGGGAATGAAGGGACCAACCCAGTTTTGGCAGCCATGACAGGCCAACACGTGCTTGCCTGACCTGGCCTTGCTCACTTGGAGGTCAAATGCCCTCCTTGTGGCAAGGAACCAATCAGAAGTTAGCTAGCGGGGCTATGCTTTACGGCTCTGGCTGTGCTTTACGGACAAGCGCACAGCAATGATGTGCAGAGCATAGCAACGCCCTGGGAGGGCCTATGGGCCATAGCAACCAGTTGACCAATCAACACAGGGCAGGTCGTCTAAGCCTGGAGGCGCACCAACCTGAGACTTTGCATACCCCTAGACACTCCCCTTACGCTGCCCTATAAGATCCTTGTCCCGTGGTTTCTCGGGATCTTTCCCCAGCCATCCGAAGTGGTGGATGGATGAAAGGCCCGAGCTAACCGGGTTAGCTCATTAAACAACTGCACTAAAAGATTCATTGCTTTTGTATGGGGTTGGGGTGGGCAAAGAACAGGAATACATAGTAAATGTAAAATCCACTCTGGCTCCTAATTATTCCTTTTCTCTCATATAATTAAAAGAAAAAGCTACACAACAGTCTCTATGAATCAGTGTTAATGAATACATAATATGGAAAGACAGAGTGAACACAGAACAGAGAGGGAGGGAGGGCATTAGTGGGGCGGAGCTTTGAATACTGCCAAAGCTAACTTGGCATTGATTTTCTTGTTACACATTTAGGAAGAAGAGTGTCTACATCATTAACTCTACATGCCAGAAAAAGAACAAGCTAACGTAAAAGTCAGCAGGAAGATAGAGTAAGATGGAGATAAGTGAAGTAGAAAATAGGAGAGCAATAGAATCCATGAAATTGATCAGGAAGATTGGCAAACCTTAGCTAAATTAAAGCACGCATTGGGGTGGGATGGGGCCTCCCACAGCTAAAACCAGAACTGTAATCAGAGAGGTAGCAGAACTACATAAATCAAATAGAGTATATACTGAGAGTTATACAAGAAATGTATGAACTACGGAATATTAGAATGGACATTTAGCCTCACTGTCTTGAACTTTATATCCCTTAGAATCATCTAGGGAGATTTTAAAAAATATTTACATTCTGGGCACATTTACAAAATTCTATAGGTGAATTTAATGGCAGCTACTCAGACAAAACACTAATGTAGCTGAATTAAAGTTACTGTCTTAGTCTGAAACACCATGACTAAAAACAACTTGGGGAGGAAAGGGTTCATTTGGCTCACACTTCCACATCATTGTTCATCGTCAAAGGAAGTCAGGACAGGAACTCAAACAGGGCAGGAACCTGGAGGTAGTAGCTGATGTCCAGGCCATGAATGAGTAATGCTTACTAGTTTGCTTCTCATAGCTCACAGTCTCCTTTCTTATAGAACCCAGGACCATTAGGCAAGGGGTGACCCCACCCACAATGGGCTGGGCCCTCCCCATCAATCATTAATTAAGAAAACGCTCTACAGTCTTGCCTGCAGTCCGATTTTAGGAGGCATTTCTCAGTTGAGGTTCCCTCGCTCCAGTGACTCTAGCTTGTGTGGAGTTGACATAAAACTAGCCAGCACAGTTACCATGGAAACGAGAGCCACTATGCAACATTTTATACAGAAGGCAGTATGTTTGAAAACTATAATTACCCGAATCACAGAATTCAAGTCTTCAATTATGTTCTTGTTAATGAGGATTGCATCAGAATATTCCAAACTTAACTGGAAGTTCTCCAGTTCTACTTGTCCTTGTTTAAGAAGAACTTGTATTGTCAAATTCACCTGGAATTTCACTTTCTCCTCCTGTAATCTAAATGGAAAAAGATTTCAAAAGAGGTATCCGTCATATACGTAGGCTTCAAACTTCACCTACTATCTGAGAAATGATATTCTAACCTAAGGAAGGCAACCTGAGTGGCATGAAGAGTATGTCCCCAAAGACACTTTCCTGGAAGTTCCTCTAAGTGGATTGGTCGAACAACAGTAGGGGCAGAATTAGTCCTGAACTTTTACTGTTAGAAAAAATGGTGTAGTTTGGATTGTAATGAAAAGAATTTTAAAATGAAGTAGAAATATTTTGAATGGCAAATCTATTAAAATTATGTCCATATTGGTTTGTTTGTTTTTTGGTTTTTTGAGACAGGGTAACAGTCTGAGTAACAGTCCAGACTGCCCTGGGATTCACTTTATAGACCAGGCTGGCCTCCAACTCACAGAGATCCTCCTGCCTCTGCCTCCCTCGTGCTGGAATTAAAGGCGTGCATTACCACCATCTATCAATCTTATTGAGTTTTGATACTATACCAACAATACCAAGTCTATATGCTACTTATCAAATTTATTGCCTAATTTGTATTCCTCCTATAGCCTATACCTAAAACTGATGTATACTGATGATTTTGGGAGCATCACTGATGTGTCTATCATCACAAAAAGTGTGGTTATACACTTTGTGAAGCAAAGACTTTATACAAAGCTCTCAGGAAAACCACCAGGCTCCAAGAAGCAAAACACAAATCTGGTGGGTGTTTATGGAGAAATTGTTTGGAAATCTGCTTGGTTCCACTCAGCCTTGAGCCCCAAAGTCTCCACTGGCAGAGGCTGGCTCTTTGTGTTTTATGTGGTAGGAGCAGATTTACACAAAACTATGATTCTTCCCTCTCCCAAAGTTTGCGTCTTTGTTTTTTGAGAGCACACATGGCAAATTCTCTTTGGAACAAGCCCTGTGTAACAAAGGTGCACTCTATAAAACAGAACCTTTCAGCATGGTGCCAGCTGTGGAGCAGCCAGGCAGGAGGCTGTCTCTGCAGTGACAGCCCTGCTGGATAGAGCCAGCCCAGTTCACACCGTGAGCATGAATGAAGACGCCTGAGAGAGCCAGCCCAGTTCACACTGTGAGCATGAATGACTACGCCTGAGTGGTTCCGTTACCGGAGGAGCTCTTGGAACACTCTTTCAATCTCATGCTGCACAACCTCGTCATCCTCCAATCTCTTCCGCAGAAAGCTTGTCATTTCCTGGAGGCCGGCAGCCTTCTGTTTCACCTGGGAAAGCCAACCGCCAGTGTGTCAGGACATGTGGAGACTTGAGTGGAGACAACATCTGTCTTTGACTTTCCCTAACAAACCTACTTTTCTCAGGGATTAATAGAAGTCTAAATGTCTGCCAGTAAGCGAACGACATAAAACATGTAGTTCATTAAGAAATTTCAAGAGTATCAAACTGACCTCTTGCTGAAAAGCAAGTATGCAATTGATGTGTGTGTGTGTGTGTGTGTGTGTGTGTGTGTGTGTGTGTGTGTGTGTGTATGATGTACATGTCTATATGACATTTTGAAATCTGTTCCCATCACTTTAGATGAAATTCTAGAATCATGGAGACTTAATAAAACTATGCCAATCCGATGTATGTGCACTGGCTTTAGGGAATTAGGAGAGAGGAGACAGAGGTAGTCAGGAAACAGAAAGGTCTCTTCAGAGCGATCCATGTTTTTACCCTTTACTGTTATTATAGCCCACACCTTCTTCTAGGAAGCATGAAGCTGCCTCTGGCCAGCTAAATATAGTCTTTGCAAAATGAGTCATTTGTAACAGTGTGTTAGAAGAGTGATGTGAGCCATGTGTAATTTTAATCATTGTTGTAGTCACATTATAAAAGTGACTGAAACAGATGAACTTAATTTTACTAATACTTTAATTCGAATACAATTTCTCCAAGAGACTCTTCTGTTTCTAAGCAATGTAAAAATATTCATGAGATGCTCTCCATGTGTTGTACAGTAGGTCTCCTAAATCTGTATGTGCTTCCCGCTCAAACACTTGTTTGCTGGCCACATTTATTCCCTGTGCACACTAACTGCTAGTACTAGCAGCCATCATTTTGGACCTTGAAGATTTATAGCAACCCAAATAATATTACTTGATTTGTTAGGCTATTATTAATATTACTAACTACTACCTGGAAAGAGAATTTTAAAACTTAGTTTTCCTGAATGTGCTGACAGATGTGATATTTTCTATTAATACGCCTAAAATAAAATTTAAAACGAAGTTGCATACTCTATATTCATTTTCCACTTTTGTTCGTCTGGTTAGGCAGAAATGTTCCCAGACTGAGGGGTCCAAGCCTTCTGGCATGTTGTTGGCATTGTCCAGTTCGTCCATGGATTTCATTAGCTGGGTATAGTTATCCTTATTTAACTTGCCAGATCCTGGGCGCTCTCCGTAAGGGACAAGAGAGTTCACATCTGCATGTGCTTTCTGTTTGTGAACCCTGGTATTAGCAAGAAAAGATCATCAACCTTTGAATACTAACAAATGCCAAAAGACAAAACAAAAAACACTGTTAAGTAACAGACCATTAGCATATTTCTTTTGTTACTTCAGGGCTGGTGAGTGGGTTACTCCAGGGACAAGCACCCACTTTGTCATTCCATACTGTAGGTCCCAAGACATGACCTAGACTTACAGGTATCCTTGATTGTTGCTGGCACTGGCAGCTTTACCCATGCCAGGAAACCTGTTTTTTGTATGTATTGTAAGCAGGCAAATAAACACCCAAGAGCAGTGTGTGTGCCCGCTGGGACTGTCTGGCATAGCCACTTCTGGAGGCTTTGTCTATATTAATAACTTAGCTTAGTTATCTTGGATGGCAGCTGGGGAGAGAAGAAAGGTACAAAGAGCTGTGTAGGCACTCCCCTTGGAGACACTTAACAGTGTCCAGCCATAGTGATGGTTCCACCCATATCTCTAGACAGGATAGTTGGTTTCTGGGAGAAGTTACTGGTCTAAGGCCAGCTCTGGGTCTGAGAGACAGTGAAGTTAGATTAAATAAAATTCTATTTGATGATCAGTGCTTCCCACGGGTTTATAATTAGCACACTCCTAGCCAGATCTGGTAGCCAACACTGTAATCCCCACACTTGAGAGGCAGAAGCAAGAAAATAAAAGTTTGAGGCCACTCTGGACTACATACTGAGCTTCAGGCCAGCCAGTGCTATATAGTTAAGACTCTGTCTCAAGAGATGTAGAGTAAAGCAAAGCAAAAATGAAAAAGTGCTTTTTAAAAGAGGGAAGCAGGGTACCGAGCAGGGTAAACACCTTCACTCTGCCCCAGAAGCCCAGCACTGGATGGGCAGATCCTGGGGCCTCTCTGGCTAGTCAACCTAGGAGAACTGACAGGACCCAGGCCAGTGAGAAAATCTGTCTCAAAAAGCAAAGATGACAACTGGACAGTGGTGGTGCACGCCTTTAATCCCAGCACTGGGGAGACAGAGGCAGGCGGATCTCTGAGTTTGAGAGAAGCCTGATCTACAAGAGCTAATTCCAGAACAGTCTCCAAAGCTACACAGAGAAACCCTGTCTAAAAAACAAGCAAACAAACAAAAAAGTAAAAACAACAACAACAAACAACCCCAAAGGGTGGAAGGTGACAGAGGAATCACACACCACAGGTTGACCCTGGCTTACACACACACACACACACACACACACACACACACACACACACACAAACACACACACACACACA